TGCCTGTCTTTTGTGTATGTGCACTGGTGTGTTGGGGGTGTGGGCAGTGAACTCAGGTCCTCAAGCTTTAATAGTAAGCATTTTTACCAACTTAGTCATCTCGACAGCCCATAGTGAGACTTTTCCACACTTCCCCAAATACTGCTAGAACTTTTACATTCAGTTCAAGTATTGAGGCAACTTTATATATAAAATTATATAGTTGTAAACAATTATAAGCACAACATGATTATTTGGAATGTGTTTAGAGAAATGTTTAAAAAATATTCACCTAAAGACTGAACATTTTGAAGTGGGAATTTATTTTCTTTTCCAGCTAGAGACTGTATCACTGTGTTTTATCGCTGTACTTATTTCCACGGCTTTTTAAAACCTTCTCAAGGATGATCTTTTTTTCTAGTAAACTAGAATTGGATATCTACAACTATCCTGCCTCCCAGCCTAACAACAGATGAAATTGAGGGTTTTTATGCTAAATCTCTGAAGCCCATTGTGTGGAATTAATTCAGAATCAAGCAAATCAAGTCACTCATTTTTCTGCAAAGTTAGGCAACCAGACAGGACATTTCCAAGTATGCAAACCATTAAGCTAAAGCATGGCTCGTTTTCAGTCACTCCATCTTCCCAGTTTTATTTCCTCATGCATACTTGATTCATCTCCCTGTAGGTATTTCTAAACTTCTTGTCTAGGTTTGGTCAAATTGTCTTTGATATCTTTCTAACTCATGGGTCTCATGGCAGGTACATAGACATCATAAAGTAAATGCTCTTACTGCTTTTTTTTTTTAATTTAAACTAAGATATTTCAAGTTTTCTAGACTACACGGAAAGGGTTTCTGCTTTTGTTGCATTTGCAGATCATGTGCCTCTGTGGAGGTAAAAAGTCAGTTTGACAATGAAGACCATCTTATCGTCATAAAAGTACAAATACCCAGTGACCTACTCAAACTCTTAAATTGCCTAGTCAGCTTCTAAATGAACTTACCACTTGCCAAAAATGCTTTGGCTCAGATACTTCCCTTATTATCTGAGAAGTGGTATTAACTCTCAATACCAACTCTGGTGGGAGGTGGGGCCGAGTGAGTGTATAATTTTTGGTCAAAGTACATTAATCCCCACTTAAAACTTTTCTTCATGTGTAAATAATACACATATCTCAAAATGAACCACATACTGGAGAAACTTCAGGTAAAAAATCTAGCATGTTCTTCAGGAGGCCTTCCCCAGCTGTTCCTTTGCATGATTTTGAGCAATATTTTCCTAATAGCTATCAATATTCACTGACCATACATTTCTTAAAATTTTATTTAACTCAATTAACTTCCAATAATTAAAGCAAAGCTGCATTTGAAATGGAAACTCTGTGTATTTTCCTGTTATGAAATACACTCAGGTAGTTTAACAGGAATGAAAACATTGTCTACATCTTAGGGAAAAATAAAAGCAGGATACTGGTTTACTTGTGTTTTGGAAAAGGTTTATTCTTTAGGAGATTCACTGCTATGGTGGATACCACCCAACTTCCTAGTGTCTACTCTGTACACCTCAAGGGCATAGCTGAAACAAGATGAGCCTCCTATACAAATGCATTCTGACCTTCCTGTTACACACCAAAAATAAGCAATTAGAATCCCATGTAGACAGGATTAAAATAGAATAATTTTATTAAAATCTCAACTATTTCCAATGCAAAGTTTTGTAGGAGTGGAGAAAAGAGTTGGAGGGATTTATAAACAATATAAAACTATAAACAATTTAGATCCTGTTTCTAGTTACATCATTTGACATTTTGCAAAGTCAATCAGACAGAACGTGTGAGTCACAAGTCATTATTGAGGTACTCTTGATTTCTACTTATGTTATATAGCCAGAGATTAGACCCATGACCTTGAACACTAGGGAAGTGCTTTGTCACTGAGCTACACTCCCAGTCTGGCTTTGACCTCTTTATGTAGCCCATACTGACTTCTAAAATAATGATCCTCCTGCCTCTGCCTCATAAGTACTGGTCTTATAGACATGCATGGCCACACACTGCTTTAACATTTTTTGTTTGTTGTTTTTATTTACTTGCAGTGCTGGGGACTGAACCCCTGGCACACTACTCCTGAGTTACATCTTATTCCCTAGTTCCATGATTTCCAACAGCATATTAGAGTTATGAGTTTTCCTTGGGACAGAGTTAGGTAGAAAAGAAGTACTTCATATTAACGAGGACAAAAGTTATTTGCCTTTGATTAAGAAGTCTATTTTTTCTTATTGGATTGGACAATAGTACAAAGCATTAAGTCACTGAAAAAATCTAATTGCATTCATTTGTGTGGCTGTGTGCTTGTACATGCATCAGTGGGAACATGAAGGTCAGAGGACAACTGGAGGGAACTGGTTCTTTCCTTCCACCTCGAGAGTCCTGGAGATCAAAGACAGGTTGTCAAGCTTGGCAGCAAGGGTCCTATGTGCTGAGCCATTTTGATGACTTTGAAAATTTTTAAATAGTTAATTCCTACTAAAATCCACAACTAGTCTCTTTTTTACAGATTATCTTCCAGCTTGCATATGTAGTTTTTACAGCTGTTTTTTCTTTTAATCCCTTCCTTCTAATACTTCACATAATCTTTCTGACCATTTTTTTTTTCAATTAAGGGAGTCAATTAAATGATCTGCCCAAGCCCTGCAGTGGTGGCAAACTCCTTTCATCCCAGCACTCGGGAGGCAGAGGCAGAGGCAGAGGCAAGTGGATCTCTTGAGAGTTTGAGATCAGCCTGGTCTACAAGAGCTAGCTCCAGGACAGCCTCCAAAGCCACAGAGAAACCCTGTCTCAAAAAAACAAAAACAAAAACAAAACAAAACGATCTGCCCCCAATTATGACTAGTACAAGAAAATGACATGTCTGGGGCCTGACCAAATCTATTTACCTTTCAATCTGAAGCTCTTTCTATTACACAACAGTCTCCAAATGAAAAGATGTCCTAATTTATAAAAAAAAAACCCACAAAAACAATAAACCCAAGAAACAGATCACTTAAGATATGACCCCTTGGGTTACAGAAAGATTTACAACTGTTAAGAATCCTATAAATCTTGGAAATTCCCCTTCTGCACAATTAGAACTCAATCTGTAGCCTGGAGGAACTCATGTATCACTTACATTTTGACAGAAACCCCACTGAAGAGTGACTATTTAGAGGTGAAAGTTTTGGGTCAACATTATGTCAATCAGTAAAGAAAATAAACCAGCCTGGGAGTTGTAATGTGAATCCCTGGAGAAAAGATGATAGATGTTAAGAACAACTACAGAAGCTCAGCAGTGGCAGCCTGGGTGCTGTGCTCCTGAGTACAGTATATGGGCTGTTTATGTAAGTGACCTCGGGAGGATAGAACATGATCACAAAATATTGTTCCAGTTTTCCTAAGCACAGACACAGTGGGAAAGCAGACTCTTCATGGCTGTGGCCAACTACCATACTGAAAACTGTGTACAGGTTTTTAAATACTTGCCCTCTGACTTGAGTGTTTTCAAAGTATGGTGTCTTCTTAGACAGAATCCAGATCAGCAGGGAACTCATCAAAAATGAAGATTTTATTAAACCCACGTCTCTAGGGACTGAAAATGCAGCATCATTCAAAAATCTTCGGCTGGTAATGTTCAAATCCTGACTTGTTAGCATCTCCTTTTGATGTTTCCTTGTGCTAAGCCCCCCTCCATGACTGTTTGCTTGGCATAAAAAGGAGAGTGCAGGTGTTTGTAAATGACAATCAAGCCCTTTCAGATAGAGGAGGGCTTATCTAAGCTTTGAGGTCATTTCCACACTTGGAACCCAGCTTATCAGTTGCACCGAGGTCAAGGGGCCAGTGGATATCTCTTCAACTGATGAAGTCAGAACTCTGGAAAAGCTCCAGAAGCTTCTAAAAACTAAGTATTGGTGGCAATAAATCTTCAAAGTCTCAGTTCTTACAATAACCTGTAAGTTCTGACCTATTGATTCCTCAACATTTTTTCTCCATCATCAACAACAAAAAAGAATGAACAAAGCCACACAGCTATCAGGTTTCAGCTGTTAATTGGGTTCCTCAAAGTCTTCATGGAAATTGTTGTATTTATAATGATCTCCCAGGGTTATTGGCTATTGTTCTTAAATCTTGATTTCTGGCTAATAACTACTAAAATTGAATGGACAATACAAGGAGATAAAATTCACAAAGTACCAAGAGAATCTAAGATCAGAAAAAGTGCCTAACATTTTTGAAGTCACTTAATTATCATATTGCCTTGTAAATGATAATTACCCTTGTATAAACAGAATATACATGCACACATACATTATAAACTGTGGGCCAAATTGCCACACCTTTGTGTTGCCTACCTGTTAAATTAAGGGCTTTGTTCAGTATACACTCAGAGGCATGAGCAAGACATAATGAGTGTTTTCTGGATGTATTATTACAACACCCAGCCAAGAGTGATTGTTATTTTCTTCTTTGAAAAGCATCAAGTTAATATAAAATTTAGTGAGTTAAAAGCAAAACTTCCCACTAAAACTTTAATGCTTTAAAATATGAACATCAAATATTCAAGCATTCTTATTCTAATGAGATAGTAGATGAGTAAAAGCCACAGTTTGATAGATAATGAATAACTCCAGAAATAAAGGGAGGTGAGAAATATGAAGGAACCAGAAGAAACATTTGAGATCTGAGATAATTAACTGTTTGGTCTCACCTTTTCTGTGTCTTGATGAAGAATGCTACATGCTCTACAGGTCTGGAATTTCCACTTAAGATCACTTGCTTCAAAGTAAAGACTTCTGGGTAGTAAAATAATTAAAACTCATGACATTTTTACCAGTATGAACACACCATAAATTTTCGAGATAAGAACTTTTAGACATGGTTAAGACTAATCTCACAAACTTTACCTCAAGAAACCTGTGGGGTCAGAATTATCTTGCAAAAGAAAAAAAATATTGTTAAACTAAGAACACAGAAGTGACACTCATGGTGAGACTGGAAAATAACTTTTATTTCCAATATGATGTCTTTTCAATACAATATATTGTCTTCTGAGTTGGTAGGTTTGATGATACCTTTATTACAGTTCCTTTAAGATGCTGGGTTTGTAGGCCTGGAAATCAATATTACTTGTTTATTTTTTGTTACTTATAAACCAGTGTTTCATCAGAACCATTCATGACACGATAAAATGTAATTATTTGACACCTTTATTGCACAATAAGTTCAGGGTAAAGTTTCAAAGCCATGAATTGAGGACTTACAAGTGTCAGGGTCTAGGGATACAGTGAGTAAAATGTCAAGATCCGTCATCCTTAAAGGAGACACAATTTGGAAAAGGATATAAGCCAGCAACTGAGCAAGCAAACATGTTCAGGCAGTGACCAATGTTTTTGAAGACAGAGCAGGGTCATGGGATGAGCAGTAGCTGGGCACATGGAAGCTTTTATAGGCAAGGCCACTATGAAAGACTTTCCAAGAACATGATGTCTTCACTGAGACTCAAATGATGAAACAAAGGCAGATGAGTGAAGAGGCAGGAACATCCCTGGTGTATCCAAGAACAGCCCCCAAAGGCCAATGTGGCTAGAATGGAGTGAGTGACTCAATACATGATCAGAGAGAAGTTGGGATAAGGCGGACCAAGTCACAAAACCCCTACATGCCACATATTGGTTGTAGTGAAATATGGAAGAATGGCATGGAGGTAGCCAAGCTGCTGTCAGACAGGAAAGATGGCAATATGTTGGCATAGCAGGTTCTAGTTCAACAGCTATGCCAGCATCTTGCCTCCTCTCCAGGTCCAAGTTACAGGACCAATACCACGCCTCTTGGTTGCTTTACTTTCCCACAATCTCTCCTTCCACCTGAGGGAGGGAAAACACACTCATTAGTTGAAAACACAAGCTTTTCCCTACAGTAACAACATAGTCTTCTTTAGACTGTCCAACTTTGAAGGCAGTTATATGCAGGGAGGTAGTGGTCAGTTCCTCTTTTAAATGTTTCTTGAATAAAATGAATCCCAGAATATTTGCTGCTTGTGAAATGACAAGGCAATTCTGAAGGAACATTAAGTCATAAACACTGACAAAGACAATTCACAGCCCATAGCACTACAGTGACCTCGGTACAGTATTGCAGGTAGTGCAACATTCTGTTGGTTAATGTCAGCCATTTGGATACTGGTACCTGACAGTGTGTGGTTACTTCATTGCTTCATGAGCTCTTAAACATAAAGCTTTTGAGCCAACAATTCTCAGGGTGGAATATTTTTCACAAATACAACTGAAAACATTCTATGTTCAAAGATGTTCACTACAGTATTGGTCTTAATGGTGAAAGACTAGAAAGATTGTGAATGTCCACCAATATGACAGATACCACCTAAATGAATTATTATATATTTATAAAATAGTCCTTATAGATATTAAGGCATAATAATGATATATCAGATAATTTCTGTGTAAAATGTATACATACATATATATTGGAGAACATTCTTAAAACATTTTTCTTGAAGAGTAGGTGATTATTTTAAATAGTGATTTATTATTTTGCAATAATTAGAATTATAAATTACTTTTGTTTTCTGCTTTCATGGGTTTCTGTTAAGATATTATTTACAAGCAATAAATGATTGTGAACTAGATCTACAGAGATGAAACATTTTACTCACTTGGACACTGCTAACATCAGCCTTGTTTTCTAGAAACAAATGTTGAGCATTTCACACAGTCATTCAGTGAGCCATGTGAAGTCCATGGTGTGTGTTTCCCTTGGTCAGCTAGGAGGTTATGAAGAATCTATTGCACAAGCCCCTTACAGTCTTGTCCTGGAGCCAGGTACCTAGTGGAAAAGATACTAATTAATGTAAGAATATTTAAAAGATGATACTAATTACTGTATGGATATTTAATAGATCTTGGTTCATCCAGCACAGCACGTGGTTCAAAATATAAATACCAAAGAAATACAGATCAGATAAAATACACCATAAAATGAAATTTTCATGGAGTAAAGTTTCTCAAAAAACCTCATTTGTTTTTGTTTTTGTTTTTTCATTTTCCTAATCCCTGCTGCTTGGTATTGAGAGGCAAACACAGGTTACATCATTTTAGAGGGCACATGTTTATACATTTAAAAACACTCACTGTGACCTTTTCAAATTCATTTAATAACATGAAAATTCCACATTCATTTCACAAGAAACATGAATGCTGGTGACTATTTGATTTACCAGACACAATAATTATCTGAAAACTCATAGGCTATTTGATGAGGCTCACTAAGGGGAAGGGCAGGGTGAGAAAGCAATTCATACCCTCCTTCCACTTCCTGTTTCCTACCACATTCTACAGTAGTAAAATAATGCCTCAATTTCTAGTTCAACCCCCCAGAAGAAGACGGTTTGCTCTCTGTCTCAGTTTCTCTTCTGTTGCTGTGATAAAATAAGCTCACAGAACTCAAGGGAGTAGTGTTTACTTTAGCTCACAGTTCAAAGAGCAGTTCACCATGGCAGGGGAGTCATGGCAGCAGGAGCCTGGGGTAGCTGCTCAGGTTCTGTCTGGAATCAGAAGATCTAAGAGATCATATACTGTTTCTCAGATCTCCTTTCATAAGTGCAGGGATTGCTCCCACCCATAATTAAGAAGGGTCTTCCCATATCAATGAATGGAAACAAGAAAATCCCCAGAGATATCACCCAGCATATTCAGTCAAGTTGGCAATTCATTCTAGCCATTACAGTACCCCATTAAGGTAGCTGTTACCATTGTCATACATTGGGGCTTTTATTTGTTTTAATACTTCTTTGATACCCAGTGAATCAAAGATTCCAAGTGATTACTGGTAATATATACCCCTCACGAATTTCAAGCCTAACCATAATTATAACTAGAAAACAAAACAAAAACTAGATTATGGATACCTGATTACAAGCCCTTAGCAATTACAATAGAATTATGAAAAATGCTGGCTGTAAAACACCCGGAAGAAGATATGTCGAACATTTTTAAGCTTCTTATCCTAACAGAATGGTTTTATGTCTCAAAACTTGATAGTGTAAATATCAAAATAAAATTCAAACTAATTTTAACTTTGAAACTAGTAGTCTGACTTCCTTTGTAAGCAATTGATTTGACACCATCCTAGAAGCAATAATAGCAAGTCCTAGACCCCTGGGAGCCAGGAAAGAGAGACCCTGTACAGACTGTATCTCCTATGCAGAGATAAGGAAGGAGTCAGCCCAACCCTCAACTACAAGGCTGGTACAGCGACACTCCTCATCTCTTTCCAGACTGGGATACAATTTACTTAATGTGTCATGTTTAAAATATTTTTCCTAAGGAAGGCTGGCATGGGGCTTACTGATGGTTATGAATAAAGAGTAGAATGTATTATTTTTTAAGTACAGCATTATGGAAAAATTTGTGGTTCAATCAAGAACATAACTGTGGGGGGAAAAATAACATTTACTGAATATGTTGGGATTGCTTTTGGGAACAGATAATTTAACAGGATGTGCTTAAAGCTACTCCCTAACTGATAGAAGCCAGATGTGTGTCTGCTTTGCATCTGGTGGGCTGCAAAAAGGAGAAAATATATATGTACACACTTAAATATATAATAATATATGTGCACATATACTTATGCATATATAGGTTGTAGTAAAAAAGAGCATTTCTTAGATATGGACAATGATCATATGAAGGTCTCTGGAAGAACTTGAAATCTACAAGAGAACCCCATGTATTAATGCCATACATTGTGCAGTCACTGTTCATTTACATATAAAATGTCCCAATGAGAGGAAAAACTATATGGTGGCGGGGGATTGGGGGGGTGGGGAGACCAACTCCTGAAAGTGTGAGCCTGAACAAACACACATGCATGCACACATGCACACACACAGCAGATAAAAATAAACACATTAAAAACAACAAAAAGCTTTCCAGTTGCTGTACTAAAGCACTCAGCCATATGATTATTGAGGAAAAACTTGAAAGGTGAGATCTTTTAAAAGAATAAAAAAAAAGAATTTTATAGGAAATAAAATAATCACTTAGGTTTCTCAAAGTGCCTTTTTCTGTAGGAGGACTGAATAGAGTTGCTTGTATATGTACACAGAAACATCCACAGTATTTATAACTTTAATTTTTATGGAATTCTTTCTATGAAAGAAAACTACTAAAGACAGAATTATTTAAATAATTATGAGATTCAACTGAATATTTTTACAACTGAACTGCCCCAAACAAGTTATATTCCCTGCCTGCCCTATAGAGACTCCTCCTGTCTGTGGAATGACCTCAGGCTCTTCCCTAGTCTATCCAGTATCTGTCTTCGCCCAGTACACAGCTATGGTACTATCAGTCTTGATTCAGGGAGTCCCACTTCCCAATGTTACACCTTCTACTCGTTCTTGACTTCTTTTCCTTTTTGTATATGTTCTTTACAGAGTTAAGAGGAAACACATCTAGAGTTTCAATAATTCAGGACAAAGCATAGATGATGAGCCTAAGCCTTTAAGATCTCAATTCTATATAATTATGTATACTAATTATAGTTTTTGACAGATAGGAAACATGGAGGATATTTTAATAGGAGGATCTCTGTAAAGAGGGCCAAAACTAAACAATTTTCTATTTGTCTAAAAGCATAAAAACTCAGTGGGATATAGGGGAGGAGATGCAATTAGCTTTTTAAAGTAAACAGCATGAATATTTCCCCTACATAATCCTCAGAAAAAGGGCAGTATCTTAGCCCGTTTGTAGCTATCAGTATGATGCTGACATGGTCTAGTAAGCTCAAGGAAGTTAACAATTTCACCAGTTCAACACTTGCTGGACATCTGTCATATGTGAAGCACTGGTTGGGTATCTGGTCACGAAGAGTTCCCAAGTAGCAGCTGGGTAAGGGTGAGTCTTTAACACAGCACAGGCTGGAGAGTGCTGGCAAAAATTTTCACAAACAATCAGAGCAAATCCAACATTGTGATGGATTCTAGACCCTACCCCTGAGAGTCTGCAGTAGTGGTCCTAGCCTGGAGTGAGCTGTAGGATTTGTTTTGGTTGACCTATGACATTCGACTGTTATGGCGAAAGTATCATAACCAGCACATGACACAGCTCACAGGACAAGAATACAATCGCTCAGCCTGTGAAGTGCATTGGCAATTTCATAATTAGTAAATCACCTAATTTATCTAAGCCTTGTGTCACTGCTCACCAGAGACAAATGATATCCACCTTCTAGGGTCCCAGAGAGACTCAAATGAGACAGTATTATAATAACTAAACACAATGAAATATATATAAGTTTTCAACATCTGGCATATGAAAGTTCTTTTACTACAGCCTAACATACAGCCTTTTATCATTTGCTACTCTTTTAAATGAATAAATATTAACAAATAAGTAATGATTGTGGACTTAATATTTGTGTTCCCCACTACCCTAGAACTGAAATTCTTACTAACCACAGTATGGCTGCACTTAGAGATGGGGCCCATAAGGTAAATAAATTTATAGAAATTGTCATAAAGGGTGGTGACCTGATCCAACAGGATTTGTGACCTGGTAAGAAGTGTTTGCCCCACCCCCAGGATTGAAGTGAAGAAAGATTGTGAAGACACAGCAGGAAAATGGCCATCTGCAAGCCAGGAAAGCCATCTCATCGGAAGCCAGGTCAGTTGGAGCCTTGATGCTGGAATTCTAGATTTTGGACTGAAAGTAAGCCAGTCTATACCATTTCCTAAATGGCAGCCCAAAAAAGACGAATGCCAGGATGGCAATGATTAATTCCTTCTGATAAGACTAAGGAGTATCATGTTACACCCTGGATTTTTTCAGCTCTTCCACCCTGCAGGACATTTTGGTGCCACTGATGAAGGCATACTGGCAACTTGCACCAAATCACCACTTCATTCATGGAAGCTTTTGGTCTATTAAAATCTAGTGCAGTGAGTCACTAATGATGACAGGGCAGTATTCAGATCCAAACACTCCCAGGGTGTCCAGATGAGTTGGCTCTAGGTGGGGTTTCAAGAAGGAATGCAGCCTGGCCTCTTAAAGGAAAGTCAAAGGAAACAAGCTCAGGTGACCAACGGTGAGTAGTGGACCAGTTGGCACTCTAGGAGAAAAGAGACATGCTCTTAGCCATAATAGCTGCCCTTCGCATCACACTATGTGGGTATTGCATCATTATTCGATTATTTCCAAGCCTCCTAAATCCCCACAAGGTTAAGCAACATCATTCCATTTTATTCTTTTCATAAAACTGTACAGAGTTGTACATGGGGGCTTACACTCTTGGGAGACTGAAGCAGGAGGACTACTTTGAGTTCAAGCCCACACTGATACACACACATAGCAAGACTCTGTCTCAAAAAGCGAACAGACAACAAGAGCTATTTCGCCTCTGTCTTTCTCCGTATGTTCTCCTTCAAAAGATGTTATATCCAAGGTCTCACACTGAGCTAAATGTTGAAAACTTCAATTCCCACCAAGGAAAAGATAAACACTAATGCACATGGGAGACACAGAAACAATCTGAGTATATGTGAGCATTCTTTAGATACTCCCACTAAATCATTCAAGTATCTGGAAATACTTACAATAAATAAACCATTTCTCCAGTAAATCCCCATCAACACAAATAATAAAGAAACATGGAAACCCAATGAAAACCTGGACAATTAAGCCCCATGAGCTCAACTTCAGAGAAGACAAATGCCATAAGAGGACCTGGAAGAGAGCCAAAGGGACAGCCCTATGACTATGCTGGCAATACTGGAACTGCCTCCAATTCACATCTCTTTACCAGATCCAGCAATGTTCTAAAACTCA